AGTTCTTCTGTTTCTTTGGATAATTAATTCTGCTGGAGTTACTTGGAATGTTGTGCATTTCTAATTTCTTTTTCTGAAAATACACTGCTGGAGTAAATGAAGGCTACCTTTTTATATTGATTTAGTATCTGGCAACCGTAAATGTTGATTAGGTCCAAGAGTTTTTCAGTACACTCAACCGGGTCATTTAAGAAAGGAATCTTGTTGTCTAAAGATAGGAATAGATTGATTTCTTCCGTTCCTGTTTTGCTCCTTTTTCTTTCTCTTATCTGACTGTAACAACTGGGTCTTCAAACACAGTCTCAGACAGAGCAGAAAACAGACACCCTCATCTCAGAAGAAACACTGTTTCTCTATACTGGATACAATGTTGCATCATCACTCCTCTCTTCCATAAGACACAGGGAAAGCATTCCTGGACATCTTTTTTTTTTTTTTTTTGTATTTTCTTTTGTTTTTTGTTTTTTTTTTTTTTTTTTTTTGTATTTTCTTTTGTTTTTTGTTTTTTTTTGTGTGTGTGTGTGTTGCTTTTGATGGTGTCTGTGTATGTAGTCCTGGATCTCCTGTGACTCTCTACGTAGACCAGCATGGGCTCAAATAAGAGAGCCTCATGACTCAACTGGCATTAAAGACATGTGAACAAAATGCCCATCCACACATGGGATTCCTGACTAGAAACTGGCTCTCCCAGGGCTCACCCTCCTCTCAGGACACTTCAGAATCTGTCTTAACAGGGAAGGAGAGAAGATCTTGAAAAAGCTCAGTTCTTTCATTCTGCTGCGCATTGTTAACCATGGCTTCTCTCAGACCGGGTTTTCTTCACACACTCAGTCATGGGAGTCTGAATACAGTGATATGATATAGCTAAGTGCCCCCTAGTCAGGAGCAGAAGTCCCCTCCCTTTTTTTTAACGAAGGAGCAACTAGAGTCTCCTGCCCTGGACTGTTTCACTCAGATTCTAGAACTTCATAATAAACAGATTATCCAGGATCCTGTGAAATGCTGCTGGGCATTTTCACCCCTCCATCACTCCATTTCTGGTCTCATAGGCACTGCTGCAGTCCCCAGGAAGAATACACAATGCCTGAAATTCCCAACTCTACTCCTGAGACCCACCAGACACATGGGACCCATCACCACAGACCTGAATGTGACATGACATCACCTTGAGATGCTGGGCCCTGGACTTCTACCCTGCTGACATCACCCTGAACTGGAAGAGGGATGAGGAGGCACAGAATCAGGACATGAAGATGGTGGAGACCAGGTCTGCAGGGGATGGAACATTGCAGAAATGGGCAGCTGTAAGGTGTGGTGACTAGAAAACCACAGCAAGCTATAGTTTTCAGACAACTAGAAGGATGATCAGACACCATTAAGAATTGCCAGGTGGGCCGGGCGTTGGTGGCACACGCCTTTAATCCCAGCACTCGGGAGGCAGAGGCAGGCAGATTTCTGTGAGTTTGGGACCAGCCTCGTCTACAAGAGCTAGTTCCAGGACAGCTTCCAAAGCCACAGAGAAACCCTGTCTCAAAAAACAAAACAAAACAAAACAAAACAAAACAAAAAAAGAATTGCCAGGTGAGCTTGGGCAACACCCACCTGCATCCAGTGCCTAAACTGCCATCTGATGTACAGGATGCAGGAGCTGCCAAGGCAGTGGTTGCACAAGCCCCACCTCCACCCCACAGCCCCACCTGCCACTGTGGCTTCAACTTGTCTCACATTTTGCTGAGCCAGCAGCTCAAAGCCAGAAAGGATCAGGACTACCTATGACTGCCTGGTACAGGAATGAGTTCAACACAGGCACAAATACAATCCAGGGGACCTGAGGGTCTCCAATTCCTGTTTTGCATAAGACCCAAACCAGAGGACACTTCCCCCAACTCCTGGAATTCAGTTTGCTGTGGACCTGGGGAACTTAATGCTGTTGCTCCATTCAGGATATCTACTGAATTCTACCATAGGAGCTTCCCATCCCTGGGTCCCAGCAATTTCAGCAAGTGAAAGGGAGATGTCCCTGAGACTCCATGGCAGGCCTGCCTACACCTTTTGCTCCTACACAGCTTCAAGACAGCCACCAAACCAGCAAAAGGCCATCAACAGCCACCTTGTACAGTGCAGTCTGCATGGGGCTGAGACTCTCCAGGGCATCCAGCTGCAGGAGCTGGCTATGGACACCAAGAGCACAGGGAACTCTGAAGACTTGTAGCTGTCCCAGAGGAGGACAAGGACACAGAAGATGAGGTCAAAGTTGACAGCAGGGAGGACTTCACCTCTTGTCATCCTGGCTGCCTTCTTGGTGCCTTTCCTCTTGCAGCTCTCAGCTCTCAGTAGCCCCCATTGTCAGGGTGAGCCATGGCTGGTCTGGAGCCTGTGGCCATGCTGCTGCCCTGAACAGGCTGTGGGCCTTGGAGTGGAGCCAGAACACCAAAGAATACATAGAAAGGTTTCTGAGTGACAGGTGGCCTGTTGGTGTGACTGACACAGTGACCCATGCTCAGCAGATCTGCAGACTGTAAGAGTGAGTGCTGGAGTGGGAGGAGGCTGCTGGCCAGCCCCACCTTTGAAGACAGCCAGGGACAGCAGCAGACAGGGCCTCAGAAGTTATTCACCTCAGCCTTGACCAGGACATGGGTGTTCTCTGTCCTGAATGTGCACCAGCACTGCTGCTTCCTGCAGCACCTGCCAATCCAACAGTGCCTGGGTGAAATGCTGAGCTCCCTGGAGGTCTCTGAATTCTTCCCTTAGTCTTTCAGGAAGTCTAAGGGTCTGAGGTCTTGAGTGTGCACAGTAATCTGTGCAGTGAAAAAGACACCAGAAGTTAGAGAGTTCACTCCAGGTATGGCCTGGGTTCTGAGGGAGAAATTCCAGGCTGGCCTCAGACATCTCTGTGTTGAATGGACTGCAGGAATGCGTTGAAATTGACAGAGGTTTCTGGGCTTATTAGCCATGACAACCAAATCCATCCTGTGAAACTGAGGATAATTTACTGTACCAGTTGAAACCGTTACATGACAGCAGCAAGAAACAGCTGTGCTGGGAGTCATAGACCACAGGAAGCAATGAGGCTAAGAGAGGGAAGCCGGCAGCCATGCTGAAAATGTGTATGGGTGCACAGTGGCTGAGAAAGTGCAGCCTGCGTGGCAGGAGTCAGGGCAGGAAGCGTCAGCATCATCCCCAAGGGCTGAGCTGTGTGGTTTGAGATCATGGCCTCTGCAGAAGGCAGGAGCTGGGGACAGAAATAGGAGGAAAGCAGTGCAAGTCATAGTGGTTCAAAGTGACAACATGGGGTGACTTCAGGAATATGGGTCAGGATTCTGGTCATCATGATTGTGAATCCCAGAAGTCTGTATCCTGAGTAAGACCTGACTCGCTGCTGAGGCCACTTTCCACAGTTTTAGTGACCTTTGTTGAACTGAGGTCTGAAAAATAACAAGTCACACATGACAGATAAAAGTGACATTACATTTTATTTAGATTGTGACCTTTCTGTCTAATGACATCTCTGTCCTGCCAGTCTATACCACCTGGCCTAAGAGTCGTCCCCTGCCCAGTGTCCTCCCCTGTCCACACTGCACAGGGCTGAGGTACTCAGGACACACTCAGTTTTCAGAGCCACTGTCCACACCACACACCATCCATCTTCCTCCTCTACTCAGCTCCTGTGTCATCTCGTCACCACAAGTGTGAGCACAGGAGAGCCAGTTGTGGGTGGGAGGAACCTGCTTTGTGAAATTCTTCACTTCTTTCTGATAAATAATTTATTTAATTTTGTGTGCACTGGTGTAAGTGTGTTGGATCTCTTGAAAATGGGGTCACAGACAGTTGTGAACTGCCATATGGATGCCGGGAATTGAACTCCAGTCCTCTGGGAGAGCAACCAGTGCTCTTATCTGCGAAGCCATCTCTCCAGTCCCAATTGCTCACTTCTTCATGTGACTGATTTATTAATTAAACTGGATCATAGGAGTGTCTGTACACATGGAATGTGGTCAGGGATCAGCGCTTGGCTTCATCCAGGCACTGCAGGGAAGGGGACAGCTGTGTTGAAGATATGCTCTGGTTTCACACATACAAAGATCATCCTAAAACACAACTGGGGCCAGGGAGGCATCACCTGGGAAGAAACACTAGGAGACACTGGGTCTAGCACATGACTGTTTAACCCATTCCTTCACATATGGAGAACTCAGATTCTGGGCAGTGTCAGCTCCCACTGCAGGTGGACACAGGAACCTGGTCTCTGTGGGAGTTTGTGGTGCTTGCAAGCCAGAGCCTCTGCTTTCAAGAGAAACCATCTCTCCACTGCATTCCTGACCAGCCCAGGGTCCTCACAGAGATTTGGGAGTTGGGATAGGAAAGAAAAACAGCTGTGCTCATGCAGATTATTTTCCTGGGATTACCATCAGACAGACTCTGGGCCAGGGTTCAGGCAGACAGTATCATACACAGTGTTATATACACTGTGCAGTGGAAGGAGTCAAGACAAAGTCCCAAGTCCTCAGAATTACTTCAGGGTTTAAGAGCTGAAGGTGGGGTTTGGATTGGGAAGTGTAGGCTTTTGGTTTCACTTTTGGCTCTGTCAGTGGCTGTCAGGTTGGCCCCCAGATAGACAGCAACCTCACAACCATGAGAACAGGTTCTTAGAAGTCTCTGCGAAGCAAGTTACAAAGCCCATGACCATAGAGGGCTGTGCTTTGGGTCCCCCTAACCCTGAAGATGGTGATCCCTGTGGTCTGCGTCCTCCTGCTGCCGGTGGCCGCCCTGGCACCGACCCAAACCCGCCCGGGTGAGTGCCGGGTCGAGAGGAAAACCGCCTCTGTGGGGAGGGCGGGGACGGCACCGGGGAAGCCACATAGTTGCATCTCACAGTCAGACCGTCCCTCACACCTCTTATACGTTCACATCCAAGTCCCGAGCCCTGCTCCCCTCCTGGCCCGAGCATCCGCCCGGGGTCCCGGGAGGAGAGTTGTTGTCTCACTGCGCGCTGTCCCCAGGCTCGCACTCGCTGCGGTATTTCCGCACCATTATGTCCCGGCCCGGCCTCGGGGAGCCCCGGTTCATCTCTGTCGGCTACGTGGACGACACGCAGTTCGTGCGCTTCGACAGCGACGCGGAGTATCCAAGGATGGAGCCGCGGGCGCCGTGGGTGGAGCGGGAGGAACCGGATTATTGGGAGAGGAACACACGGATCGCCAAGAATAATGAGCAGGCTTTCAGAGTGAGCCTGAGGACCCTGCTCCGCTACTACAACCAGAGCGAGGGCGGTGAGTGGTGCAGGTCCGAGGTCAAGACCTTTCACGTCCCTAGGTACGTCCCAGAGTCTCCCCGCTTCGAAGTCCGAGGTTCTTCCCGAAATATGGAACCCGCAGAGACTCTGGACCAGATAACCCGCAACTGGGAAACTTTCACTGTCAGTTTACCTTGAGTCCAAGTGTGGGCGGAGCCGGTGGCCGGGCAAGTGGGCGGGGCTGACCGCTGGGTCCCCACAGGCTCTCACACCTACCAGAGGATGTACGGCTGTCACGTGGGGTCTGACGGGCGCCTCCTCCGCGGGTACAGTCAGGAAGCCTATGATGGTCGCGATTACATCACCCTGAACGAGGACCTAAGGACGTGGACGGCTGCGGACACCGCGGCGCAGATCACCCGACGCAAGTGGGAGCAGGCTGGTGTTGCATGCAGATGGATGGAGGGCCTACCTGGAGGGCACGTGCGTGGAGTGGCTCCGCAGACACCTAGAGAACGGGAAGGACCAGCTGCTGCGCACAGGTGCAGGGGCCCCGGGCATCTCCTCCCTCTGCCCTCGGGCTGGGCTCAGTCCTGAGGAAGAAGAGACCCTCAGCTGGGGTCACGCCCCTGTCTCTGAGGGGACACAGTGTCCCTGGGGCTCCTGATCCAGCCTGGCAGGGGCTGCATTGATCTCCCAGAGCTCAGAACTTCTCCCTGGACGGTTCCAGATCTGTCTCAGGAGGGCGGGAGAGAAGATGCCCACATCCCCAGCAGTGGCTCCTCAGTCTGCAGCCCTCTGCCAGCCATGGCCTCTCCCAGGCCGGGTTCTCTGTCCACAGCCAGTGTCTGAGTGTGTCAGCTTTACACACCAGGACCAGAAGTCTCCTTTACCTGATGGGAGACCTGGATGTCCCTACCCAAGGCTGGTTCCCCAGTTTCTAGAACTTTCCAAAGAATACATTCTCCCAGATTCCTGTGGGTGAGGTTTGCACCCCTCCCTCACCCCAATTTTAACGCTTCCTAGAATGGTCACGTGAGCACTCATGGGGTGCCCTGCAAAAAAACTTCTAAAATATGTTTTCTTTTCTTTTGTCTTTCTTTGTTTTTTTTTTTTAATTGTCATTTTGCTTTAGTCAGTGTTTCCTCCTCACTGGGGTGATACTGTTTCAACCTTCCCTTTTCATCATCATCTGTATCTGTCTCCACCGGTGTCTTGGGGACTGTAATCTGGACAATTAGAGAAGTCATTGTTCTCTTTAAAGGAAAGATTCCCATGACCTTAGACTATTTTCTGCCAGAATTAACCATCCAAACCCCCACTGCTCTCCCTCAACCCCACCAAGTTAGAGTGTTGCTCCCCAGCTAATAAGGAACTGAACTTCCTCAGAGACAGGGTCTTCTGCAATTCCAGGACTGGAGTGACAGAGAAAATCCACACACTGTCAGTGAGTGCTGCACTGGGCTCCACAGCAACTTCCAGGGATCCTGGGTGACAACACCTTGTATCTTGTTCCCCCCAAAGACAGGAATTTAAAAGTCATTTTCAATTCCCAGTGTCAGAGGTTCACACCATTACTGCTGCATGCTTGGTGATGGCTGTTCACTTGGACAGACAGTTATGCTGGTCAGCAAGATGGCCACAGTGGTTGTGCCTCAATGGTGGCTGCATTAGTTGAGAGCACCCATTATGTACCCTATCCCACTTATTTTGACATAAATTTAATCACATATATAAATTATTTTCCATCCCTTCTTCCATTCTTTTACCACCTAACTTATGCTATAGAACCTCACATAAGGAAGACCATGTGACCTGCTGGTTCATGTGATTCCTTTTTAGCTTCCAGGTCCCCCCAGGAAAATGTACAGATCAGTGATGAGGGGACCAGCGGCCCCTGCAGGTCACTAGTGTGATGACAATCAGAAGTGTTCAGACACACAGTTCAGTGTCATCATTGATTTAACTTTGTCTTTGCAGATTTCAGTTTATCTTGTTCTTGTGGGATTTCTTAAACCTTCCACACAGATCCCCCAAAGGCACATGTGACCCATCATCCTGGATCTAAAGGTGATGTCACCCTGAGGTGCTGGGCCATGGGCTTCTACCCTGCTGACATCACCCTGACCTGGCAAAGGGAGAAGGAAGAACAGACTCAGGACATGGAGCTGGTGGAGACCAGACCTTCTGGGGATGGAACCTTCCAGAAGTGGGCAGCAGTGGTGGTGCCTTCTGGGGAGGAGCAGAAATACACATGCCATGTGCGCCATGAGGGGCTGCCTGAGCCCCTCACCCTGAGATGGGGTAAGGAGGGAGGGGTGCAGAGCTGGGGTCAGGGAAAGCTGGAGCCTTCTGCAGAGCCTGAGCAGGGTCAGGGCTGAGAGCTGAGGTCATGACTCTCACCTTCCCTTCCTGTCCTTCCCTTCCCAGAGCCTCCTCAGTCCACTGTCCCCATCATGGCAGTCATTGCTGTTCTGGTTCTCCTTGGAGTTGTGACCATCATTACAGCTGTGGTGGTTGTGAGGAAGAGGAGGAGAAACACAGGTAGGAAAGGGCAGGGTCTGAGTTCTCTCTCAGCCCCTTTAGAAGTGTGCTCTGCCTCATGGAAACACATCACACCCTCCTCCCCATTGCTCCTGGCTCTAACATGGATTTGCTGTCAGTTCCAGGAAATTACTAGGATCAGGCTCATCCCTGGTCTCTCACAGGTTTTCTTCTCACAGGTGAAAAAAGAGGAAAGTATGCTCCAGCTCCAGGTAAGTGAGGAGAGCAGGATTGTCCCTGAAGCCTATGGGGTGAAGCTGTAGTATTTCAAGGGGCTCTGGCAAATCCATAGGAGTTCCTCCAGAAAAATCTTCTTGGGGCCCTGTTTTTACCTTCATATATTTATATTACTATATTACTATATATATTACATTAGGCAGGGACAGTTCCCAGAGCTCTGATATGTCTCTCCCAGACAGTAAAGGTGACACTCTGGGACCTGATTTGGGATGGGGGGGGGCAAAGTGGTCATGATTGGGTTTCAGGGACCCCCAGAATCACCTGTGAGTGAGTGGTGGGTTTTTGGGATGTTGTCTTCACAAAGATTGTTCATGACTGTTGTTCTGTAGCTTGAAGACAGCTGCCTGGCATGGACGGAGTGACAGACAATGTGTTCAGCCCTCTCCTGTGACATCCACGGTTGACTCTGCAACAGTGTCTGATGTTCCCTGTGATCCTATGGGCTCAATGTGAAGAACTGAGGAGCCCAGCCCAGCCCTGCACACCAGGACCCTGTCCCTGCACTGCCTGTGTTCCCTTCCATGGCCAACCCTTCCTGTTCCAGCAGACAGGAGGGGACA